ACATACATACATACATATGAATTTAATTTGTTTATCAGTTTGGTGTTTCCCAGGTTTGGGGACAAGCCTGGTAATGAATTACTATTAACAGTAACTATATGTAACATGTAGAAACTAAACATGAAAAAATGGGGCACATGTTAAGAAGGAAAAGAAGAAATATAGTATATAAAAAAAGAAACAGAATATACTACTTGACTCTTATAAAGTATAGATGGTCATAATAATGTAAATATTGCAGATTAATTAGAACTTATGATATAATTTTCTACACAGAGTACATATGGGGGAGGCAAAGAAAAAGTAAAAATAAAATAAGGTCCACAACTGCTACATCAGTAACAATAAATGCACGTAGTTTGGAAAGACAGAGGTAAATGCTCTGTAAAAGATATGAAAGGAGCTGCTGAGAGACATGATAGGTTTGTTGTTTTTTCTTTGTAGTATTCAAGCCTTGCAGTATTGCTTGATTTTTAAAAAATTTTTTTTAAAACTATGTAACATTACCATTAAAAATAAATTTTGCGATTACATCAGCCACAGTGGACAGGGCTACTAGGTCCTGGCTGCACGAGTCTTAAGCCAGGTTCTGCCTCAGTTAGCCAGAACAATTCTGGGGGAGAGTGAACTTTTTCCAGGAGCTGGGCACGAACCACTTCATTGGTGACCTTGCTTCTGAAGAGCCCCTTTCCTCGCCTAAGCCCTCATCCATGCAAATTATTATCTTCATTTGTTTCTCCCTGGGTGACTAAGAGACCATGAAAGCTGGATGCCGCCTTTCTCATCTCTGCTTCTCCCCAATACCCACCAGCCCCAGGCCCAGCCCCCAGCCCAGAACCAGGCAGGTGCTCAGTGTCTGGCAATTCTCTCCTATGTGAGAGGAAGCAGAGGGGGCAAGAATCCCTCACAAAGCAAAAGTGCTGTGGAAAGAGACAATCAGCTGAGTGTGGCAAGCAGGTGGCAAGGCCTACCCTGACCGACCTTGCAACTCCTTCAACCTTGTGCAACAGTTTGTCTCACCTCTTTTTTGCCATCCCCGAAGCCTCGTGGCCATAGGAGCTTCCACCTTCCCCCCACAGCTGGCCCAATGCACTCCTCTTGCTACCATGGGCAACCCAGAGGGTCCAAATGGATTGCTCCAATAAACTCCCACAGAAACCACAGCCACTTTTGGAGGAGCACTGTCACGTGCCACACACTTCACTGAGTGCTTTATGTGGCTCATTTAACTCTCATAGAAGCCCATGAGTCACACACTGGTCCGCTCCTCCTGCTTATTCTGCTAGTGAGGGAACTGAGATTACAGAGGCTAAGTACTTTCTGGAACCATCAGCGAAATCCCCCAAAACTGACATTTGCTTCCCATGGTGCCAGTGCTGGCTGAGACATCTGAGAAAGCCAAGGCTAAGAGTGGAAAGCATCTCCCCAGGATTGAAGCAGAGCTGGTGGCGGAGTTTGCACTGGAACCATCCCGACTTCTGGCCCAGTGCTTGCCCAGCCATGGTGCATGCTTGCCTCCACTAGCCTGTCTGTAAATGAGGCAACAAGCAATGCCGCGAGTGACCCAGCCAGATCTGGGGTGAAGGGTAAGAAACTGGCCCTCCTACCTTTCCAGCACCACTCTCTCCACTGACCACGATAGACTGGTTGACTGGCTCAATCAGGCTCTTGACATTCTTGTAGGTCTGTTCAGCCACAGTGAAGATGTGGGGCCTCAGTCTCTGCAATGTCGAAGGATGAAATGTAATGCCAGAGAAAGCCTGTTACCGGAGGAGTTGATACAATAATGGCTCAGATGGGGAGGCTGCCAACAGAAATACCAGGAGTCTTCCTCCAGGAAAACCTCCTGGGTGGAACAGTGTTGGGTCCAGCTGAGGGGCTCCTCCTACCCAGTGGCTTCACTCATCTTCTCTCAGCCTGGATGCAGGGCTGGCCTCGAGCAATCTATGGCATTAATCTGTGCTCTCATCTTATCTTGCTTTAATAATCTTATTCTGGTGCTTATTATTTCAAATTATTATACTTTGCAGTCTGCCAAAACTTTCTTACAAGTTACTGTCTAAGAAATCTATGCATTAGTTGGATAGCTACCCTTATTTTAGATGAGGTATCTGAGGATCAGAAGCATTAACAATTTTCCAATGCTACTTAGTGAGTAGAGCCATGTAATTTGAGTATCAAAGCCACTCTTCTCCTTTCCTTAACAGACGCCAACTGTGCTCAGCGTGCTGGGCATCACGCTGAGCACTGGGGAAAGAATGGACCATGACCAGGCCTTTGCCTTTGAGGGGGAAGGCAGACATTGGATGAGAAGAAGACTCTCAGGACAGACCTCTCTGGACTGCACTTGGATACTTCCCCATGCATGAGCTCTGTATGGTACCTTGCTGGCCCAGCCAGCAACAATCACTTATTGCCTCCTGAGGGAGCAAGCACCATCAGGACGGTGTCAGAGCTGCCCTTTCCATCTGCCCTTCCCTGGCCACCTCTCACTTGGACTGTTACAAGACTTCCAATTATTCCTTCTGCCTCATCTTCCTGAACCAACTCCCAGAGTAATCACTTCCCCAGCGGGCTCTTTTTACAATCCCACCTCTACCTGGATAAAGCAGCTGTGGATTCGTCTGCTGTAGTGCTTCAGACCCTACCCAAACACCCTGGCTCTCTCCTCCTTTACCTTCACCCACAGCCTCCCTCCTGTTGGCAAGTTTGCTCTTGCCTCTCACTGAGCGCATCAGCACTTTAACACTCCCATTCTCTGCCTGCACCATCATTACTGATGTATTCTCATGCAAGCTGAACTTTCTAGGGCAATCCCTGTCTGCACATAATTTTTCTTCTGAAAAGGCCCGTTAAGTGTACAAATATATCTTTGTAAATCCTTTCCTATTAACAAACCCATCATTAGGGAAAAAAAAGTCCTTTGCTCTATGCCTATTTTAGATTGTAAACTCAGTTAAATAAATATTCAGCTCAGGCCAGGGATTTAGCTCAGTGGTTTGACTGCATGCCTTGCAAGCACAAGGACCCGAGTTCAATCCCCAGTACAATAAATAAATAAATATTCATCTCTTACTCTGTACCTTCTGTTCTTCAGCCTTCCCCCCCACCCCCAAGACAGGTTGGCCTTGAACCTACTACATAGACCAGGCTGGCCTCAAACTCTCAGCGATCTTCCTGCCTTAGATTCCTGAGTGCTGGGATTACAGTCATGTACTACCACATCAGGCTTATAGCCACTGATATATTTTTTTCCTTTGTGTCCAGATTTTTGAGAGCTTCTATTAGGTGGGGCCACACTAGCAGGCTTTGAATGACTGCATAGCTGGTGAACAGATGGGTAAGGATGGGAAGATGTAGCAGGGGTTTGGGAGAGCCCAGGGATCTGAGAGGCAGAGCAAACAGCTGAGCCTTACCTGGGGCTGAGGTGCAGCATGGTACTCTCTCATTAGCTCTGGTGTGTAGAGCTGAGGGACTGGCTTGAAGGGGTTCAGAGCTACCAAGGTGCAGCCAGCATTGGTGTAGAACGTGTCTGCCATGTACCGGGCTTGCAGGCACCTAAGGACTGAGGCAGAGATGCCTTTAGCAAAGTCTGGTTCAAAACCATGCACACAAGCCAGGCGTGGTGATTCATGCCTGTAATTCCAGCACTCGGAAGGCTGAGGCAGGAGGATACATAGCGAGTTCCAGATCAGTCTCAACTACATAGTGAGACCCCGTCTCAAAAAAACAAAACAAAAAAAACAAACCAAAAAAACAAAACTATGCACACAGACACACACCAGCCTAACAGCCCTTCCTCTGTAATTAGCCAAGTGCCATTACATTCCAGCAGTTCCCTGATGAGCAGATACAAGATCTAATTAAGACGAGCCCCAAATCTGGAGCAAAGCCTGCCCTGAGGAGCCAACGTACAGCTGCCAGGCTCCCTTGGGCTGAGGTCTAGATCATGCAACTGGCCCTAGGTCAACAGTCTTGCCCTTCATGGTATGCCCTGGGGAAGCCACACTGGACACCCTTGTCACACCGCCGCCCTCTTGGAGATAGCCCTCCAGAGAGGGAGGCCCATACCTGTCTCCAATGTCACAGGATTCACCTTGGTCAGGTCATCCAGCTGGTGCAGTGGGGCCTCCCTGCCCAGGAACTCCTGCAGGTCTTCTCTGAGGGACACCCTGCTTTGGCCATCAGAGCCTGAACTGTGGTCATCCACCTGCAGGGAACAACATGAAAGCCAAGGGGCTGAGACTCAAACATCCTGGCAGCTAATAAAGGCAAAAGCCTGCAGAGTAGAAAGGACAGGCCTCTGGGATCAGAATAAGGTTGGGGTCTTTGAGTTCTGCCATTTACTAGCCCCGTGAGGCTAGGTAATCCAATAGCTATGCCTCAGCTTCTTTATTTTTTGTACACGAAGGATGACAAACCTAACCCACAGAGCTACTGGGAAGGAGAGACATATGAAAGCATTGTCAGAACCTTGCACACAATAAGTGTTCAATAAATGCTCTCCTGCCTCCTCTGCCAAGAGCTCCAGCTGAGTCAGCTTCCAGACTACCAGCCTTACTGGGCATGGCAGGAGTGGGGCCCAAAGGAGGGGCTGCTACAGAAGTATGGTAAAGGAAAGGGACAGGCCTCATTTGAAAGAGACAATTCATCTTGTTCAGAACAGCTGAACCTTCCCTGAGAAGCAGCCCCATGCTTTTATCACTTGCCTCTCAGGGCTTCAATTTAGCCAGACTAATGAACAGGTTCCTCTACCCCAGGTCTGTATAGCAGCTGCCTGGCTCAGAAGGCTGGATGAAGCCAAGAACGAGTAGTGAGAGGAATAGGTTCCTCCTTCACTTTTTGGGGGAATGGGATGGGACAGGGTGGGGTGTGCGATCAGGGACTGAAGCCAGGATCTTCACATTAAGCTATACCCCTGTGTCTTAGTTTTCTTGTTGCCGAGACAACATCCATAGTTGAGGAAAAGTTTATTTGGCTCACAGTTTATAGAGGTTTCGGTTCATGTTGGCTGGCTCCAAGGCAAGGTGACATGGCAGAGGGGAACACAGAGGAAAAACAGTTCATGGCAAGCAGAAGGCATCAGGACAGTGAAGTGGCAAAGAAGCAGCAAGCATTAAGCAGTGACAATAGCAGCTTTTTTTGTTCCTTATATTTTATCCATTCACACCCAGGGTGGAATCCCTTAATCCGAGTATTGCACCATGAATCAATCCCAGCAACACACACTTAATCCCAGCATCACACTCTAGATCAAGCTACCTCTGAACAGCCCCACCTATGACCATATGAGGCTATGCGGGGACATCTAGACACAAGCCATAACACCCTGGCCCTTTTTATTCTGAAACAGGGTCACACTAAGTCGCCTGGGCTGACTTGAACCTGCAATTCTCTTGCCTTATCCTCCCAGAGGGCTAGGATTATAGATGTGTGCCACTACTGGAAGCTCAAAACCACCTTCTGAAGTATGAAGGATGTGATATGACATGTGTTTCCAAGGAGTCTGGTGAACCCTCAAAACTTCAAGCCCCTCAGGGAAACACACTAAGGTAGTAAGTTTCATCTAAGAGGCCCAGTAATGAGTTTCTTCCAAAAATATTGCCAATTCTCTGAACTTTAGACCCACCATTATACACAAAGCAGGCTCTTGCCCTGTAGGCTGCCACAGTAAGCACAGCTGAAGCCAAGCAAATCCCTCTGTTCTTGTGAAAAGAAAAAAACCCACTAACCCAGCTACAATTTATGATCAGCTCCAATCCAACTAGAGGCAGCTGAATATAATGACCAAGAGCCTGGATTTGAAAGCTAAATCACCTAGGTTTGAATCCTGATACCACCACTTAAATTGTATAGTCTTACATAAGTTCTCAAAACTATCTGTGACTTAAATTTTTCTCTTCTGTGAAATGGGAATGGTGATTACATGTACCTCATAGATAATAATAAGCACATAAAAAGTGTGGTGGCACACACCTCTAATTACAGCATTCTGGGAGGCTGAGGTAGGAGAATTACAAGTTTGAGCCCAGCCTGGGAACTTGGTGAGACCCTACCTCAAAACAAAATACAGTAAAAAGGGCTTGAGATGTAGCTCAGTGCTATGGCCCTGAGTTCAATCCCAGCATCACACTCACACACACACACACACACACACACACACACACACGGGGTGGGGGTGGAGGTTAGAGAGGCATCTGGGACATGACAAAAGTAGTTAGCTATTATTCTTCTACTGGGAGAAGTGGCTATTATTAGTCAAATTTTATAGCCAGGCTTTAAAACTGTGCATCTCTTAAGCCTGTAATTCTGCTTCTCACAGATATCTTATGCAAAGGAACATTTGTATATAGAACCATTTATAATTATGAAAATTAAAAACTACAGTGTCCATGTAGTAGACTGCTTAAATTATGGTACATCTACACAATGGATGCAGGTTACCAAAAAATGTAACTTACATGTCCTTAAAATATATATTTAGGGAAAAAATAGGACATTCCCTAAAATGTTGGTTATTTCTGAGGAGTATGATTATGAATAATTTTAGTGTTCCTTTTGCTTATCCTTATTTTCCAAATTTCTGATAGTGACTGTGACCTTGAGTAAGTCATTTAGCCTCTCTGATCCTTATCTCCTAGAATGGGGACATAATAACATTGTCTAGTGTACAACACTATACATTTCTCAAGGGAATGTGAGAACAAAATTACATATAGCATTGAGTGTCCTATATAACAAGGGCTCACCACAGGGGAGTTGATAGTATGGTTATGGTAAACATAACTACTTTTAGGAAGAAAAAGTATTCAAAATAAATACAAAAGTCTGCTTCTCTCCAGTCTCCAGGCCTGTTTTTTGAACCAGATGATAGGGAGGTCAAGCAGCAGCGTGTACCGTGAGTCCTTTGAGGCTGGCTAGCTCCACACTTGGCTGGCCTGTTGATGCAGGACTTCACTACACTGTAAAGTATGTGCCTCAGTCCAGTCAGTGCCAGGAATACTTAGAGGATTTGGAGTCCTACAGGACAGGGCAACAGCAGAACTTCCAGAGAAGCACAGGCCTGGAGTACAGGCAGGTTTCATGCACCCCATAATCCACTCAGAATCTTTCTGCAGTTTCATGCAAGTCACTTTCTCTCACATTTTTGCAGAGGCTGACCTCTTTGCCTGAAATGCTTATTGACCATCTCCACTTCACTAATTTTTTCTTATTCTTTAAGATTCAGCTTCAAAGAACTCTCTTTTTGGATATCCTCAGCTTCCACTGCCCCTCAACAATGTAGGCTGGCAGGGACATTGCTCAAGACTTCCTCTCTGTAAAGTCAACAAAGTGACCTAAGGATTCCTTTATCTATCTCACCTTATCCCTCCCAAGGAAGAGTTAAAAATGAGAGGGATTCCAATTAGAGCTCAAGAGCACTGCAGTGACCACTAAAAAGGCCAGAAGAAAGACATTTAAGGAGTCTTTCCTGTTGTTCCAGGTGAGAGCAGCAGAAACTTCATTCAGGCACATGAAAGATGGGAAGGTGCTTCACACATTTGAGGGCTGGGTCATATAATGTTGACGTACGTGCTGGAGCATCCTGCTTCAATGTGGTCAGCCAGGGTTCTGGGTCACGGACCCAAAGAGTGCTATCCACTTGGTCATGGGGCCATAGGCATCGCTCCAGCAAAGTGCTCAGGTCTGGAGGAGTCTCAGACGAATCATCCTAGAGCCTGTGAAATGAGAATGAAGTCAAGGGCCACACACAGGTGAGAACTTCTAGGTGACTCATTCCTACTCCTTCCACCAAGCAGTAACAAAATGAGAACTAGGACAGGCCTGGGCTAAGAGTGAGAGTCTGTCCTTTTTCCTAACAATTATGGAACAAGGGAAACTTGTTGAGAGCCTCCAGATTCCCCCAGGCTACTTTTTGAAGTTTTCCTTGCAGTAAATCCTCAGGGTCAGTTGTATTAATTTAAGGGTTAGGTGAGGCTACAAATCTTCTGAGTCAGTATGCTGTGGAGGTTAAAGACACTGAGGAGACTGAGAACTTCATGCCCTCTCTTTTTCACTGGATGAAACTATCCTATTTCAGTATAGTCAGTAACTGGGTGGGGAGAAAAGGCTGGAGTCAACTCCTGACATAACAAGAAAGCTGTTGTATAGGAGAGAAATTATGGTTCAGCCATTCACTGGGTGTGTGACCTTGACTAGCCATTATCACCTACCTCCAATACTTTGAAAATTGAGATCATTAAATATAATTTGCAAAGAGAGTAGTTGTGAAGGTCAATGAGGTCATGTCTTTTTTTTTTCCCTCCTACTGGGGATTGAACTCAGGACCTTGTGCCTGCCAAGCAGGCACAGGGCCACTGAGCCACAACCCCCAGCCTAGTAAGGCCATGTTTTGAAAGCACCATTCAGAGTGCAAATGTGAATATTCACTGAGGATGAATTGGGTTAGCACTACAACTAGGGTTACTAATCCATCTAGGGGTGCTAAGCAGGTGGACCAATCCAGTGTCAACTCCAAGGAGGTGAGATGGTGGACTTGTCTTTGAAGGATGTTGACCTTCAGACTTGGAAGTTCCCAGGCCTCAACACTTTCCCCAGCAAGGAGCGTGGGAATGAGGGACACCTGTAAATGGATTAACCCTAACAGACCAGAGACTTTCTAAGGCTCTGAATACATCTAGTCTTTTAAAGAAGCTAGAGACAGGGACTTCCATGGAAACTAGAAAATGACAATTTGGGTAGAAAAAGGTATCAGGACTGTATGAGACACCTGCACTCTGGACACTGATGTTACCCCAGTCCAAGAGACAGCTATGCAGAGGTCTCTGGAGACTCAGTGAGAACAAACCTCCCTCAACTGGTGGCTCATGGAGAGAGGTTAAGTCCAATGGGAGATGGGGGAGTTAGAATTGTTAGAATTTCAGCTTTAGGAGCTCTCTAAAGAGTATTACTTTTCTTCATTTGCAAAGGGAGTAATAACATCCAGGCCTCACCGGGGCTAAATTGTCTCAAACGGGATAGTCTCTGTGAAAGCTTTGCAAATTTGGCTTTTACCATGCAGTATCAGCTCCAGCTGGGGTCAAGTCAGAGTAAAGCGGTTTTCTCCAGTTAGTCTGTTTCCTGCTCTCTCTGTTCGCGGTTACCAACAAGAATTTCTGAAAAGGGTGTGACCACAGTGGGCAGAAGGGAGTAATGAATAGGTGCAACACTGAGTCTAGGCAGGTGGCAACCTGATCACCACCACCACCTCCTTCTCCTCCTCCCGCTTCAGTTTCTTTCTTGGCTTGGAGGGCAGACGCGGGAGAGACCTGGGTAAGGGTCCTGGGAGCCCAGCCGGCTCCACTCTAGGTTCCTGGCGGGAACCACTACTACTGGTCTGGGCGACGTGCCCGCGGTGCCCAGGGCAGCATGCCGCTCCGGAAGCACCTGGCTCAGGGAGAGTACGTCCTCTAGGGAAGGTGGACACGACCCTAGCAAGGGCGAGGTTTCCCTGATGCCTCCCAGGACCAGCCCTCCCCGCCCCGTCCCTGAATAGGGAAGGGAAAGGAGGCGTCTGGATCCAGTCTGCCAGCCGGGACCCCCTCCCATTATGGGTCACTCCCTGCCGGCAAAGTGGAAAGGTGGAGGATGACCGTGAAAGGTCCTTGCTCTTGGCTCTTGCCAAGAGCAGGACTACCTTCACCTAGGACGAGAGCGAGCAGAAAAGGAAAATGTAGAGGGAAAGGGCTCGACGATTTGGGGAGGAAAGAGGGAGGTGCCCCCTTCCACCTCAGAGCTGCGGGCCAACCAGCTTCCTTGCCCCTTACCGGCCGTGAAGGGTTTTGATCTGGGCTGGGGTGACACTCACCGCTCCCACGCCCCGATCTACCTTGCGCGCAGACCCCGCCGGCCCGACCGCAGGGCGCGCCAGCCGGCTAAGGCGGCGGGAAGATTCCGCAGAGGGAAGAGAGGCGAAGGTGGGGTCGAGCCGGGAGGAGAAAGAGCCGGACTGGGACGCACCCGTCTGGCTGCGGCTCTGA